TGATTGCACAGGGGCATCTAAGCAGGTTCATCTGAAGTCTCAGACATGCCCACTATCTTTTATGTATCGCATAATAAAGTTAGCAGCAGTCCAAAAATGTTGTCTGTCCTTGATAGCCAACCAGGTTTTTTTACTTGTAGAACATTGCACCTCCCAGGAGATGGGTTATCCTCCCTGACTCTTGCTACACTTCCAAAATTCAGTGTGGCATGCTCCCTTCACCAGCTCCAAGGATGAAAATCTGAAGAAGAGTAGAGGGTTATGTACAATGCAAAACTGAGCCCACATCAGCTATGGGTTCTGGGCTAAAAAGGATCCCAAGCTTTTTCCACACCTTTAGGTGGGAGAAGAGGCACATCTCCCTTCTACAGCAAGGAGGTCAACAGGAAACCTGTGGTTTGTCATACATGCTAGGGAATGCTGAGAATACATCTGAGAGAATGCTGTGGTGTGGTAAGCAAAACTGTAGACCCCTTGAATAGATTTGATGCAATTGTGCAATTTCAGAGAAGCATTTCAGCTATTATTGCTGTTGCTGAATACATATTTGACCGGCAGAAATGGACATTCAGTGAAAATTACGCAGTTGAAAGGTACTTCAAACAGACTTTTCATCTGTAAGTGCTTTGTACTTCCACCAATTTAGAATGGAAAGCTAAAATGACACAAATTTCATTGCATATCACATGTCTCAACACCAACTCTTCAAGGGTGTGTGTCAAGCTGGTTCACCCCTAGGGTCAGGAAAGCATTGAACTTCAGTTTCTTTAACAAGGCCCTTCTTTTTCACTCATTCACTCTGTGAAATGGTCAACAGGAATGTTAACACAAAACAGTGTCCTATTTTTTACTCCAGTGCAATTCTTATTCAACTGTAAAAGCGACTTGTAGCTAGAGATTTATATATATATATATCAGATATATATATATATCAGAAACATGCTAACACTTTGGTGCATATGAACAGGAGTGAATGGTGCAGAATTTCTCACTTCTGCTGCAGAGTTTTATGGAATCAGGGATGTGCATAATTGGCTGTACCTGAACTCCAAGTAACAAGTTGTGTTAACTAGACTACATGAGGGCTAAAAGTGGGTATGCAACATGAGGCAGGCATGCTATTTTTACTCTTTGTGGCCCGTCCGTTCCACCCAGTCCTTCATGCATCCATATTTATTTATTTATACATTCATTTATATGCCACCTACTACCATAGTCTTAAGGCTAGATACCTGTTGCTCTTTGTCAGCAGGTACCTGCCTAGACATTGACCAGGCAAGGCTGCCAACTTTTGGCTCTTTGTGAGTGCACAGAAAAATACTTGTGAAAGACTGAAAGAGAGAGAGGGAAATGCAGATAATACCATATTACTGGCAGAAAACAGCAAATAACTGAAATGATTCCCACTTAAATAAAAAGAAGAAGGGAAAAAGTGGGACTACAGCTGAATATTAAGAAAATAAAAATCACGGCTATGGAGGAATTGTGCAACTTTAATATCAACAATGAAGAAATAGAAAGTGTGAAAAGATTTTGCATACTTTGGCTCAGTCATCAATTCACACAGAGACTGCAGTCAAAAATTAGAAGATTGAAACTTGGAAGGGCAGAAATTAAGTAACTGGAAAAGATAATCAAATGAAAGAGAGTTTCAATGTAGACCAAGACCAAGATTATTTATACTATTGTATTCCTAATCTTTATGGATGGCTGTACAAGCTGAAGAAAGCTGATAAGAAAATTGACTGTTCAAACCATAGCCCTAGATCAATACTCTGGAATGACATGAAGACAAACTTTAATTTGGTCCTAGCTCAAATTAAGCCGGGACTTTCTCTGAAAGCAAAAAGGATTAAACTGAAACAATCATACTTTTTGAGAAGGCAAGACTCACTAAGCCAGTCATGCTAAGGAAAGTCAAAGGCAGAAGCCAATCATGCTAAGGAAAGTCAAAGGCAGGAGAGGAAGACCAGCTATGAGATGGATCAGCTCCGTAAAGGAAGTCGCAGCCTTACATTTACAAGAGCTGAGCAGGGCTGTGGAGGACAGGACGTTTTGAAAGGCACTCATTCATACAGTCACCAGAAGTTGGAAGAAGACTTGACAGCACATGACAACAACACAGTGCACATCAGAAGGGGAGAAAATGGGTTTGCAATCACAGAGAGCTCTTCCAAGGTTTGAGCGAATGTTAATGGCTGTAATGGGTTTTGTGAAAGCTGATCTCTGGGGAAAACATAAAAGGGGAAAGGAACAGAAAAGCCATTGTAAGGCAAAAGGGTTTGCAATCACAACAGAGGGCATCCAGTCAGTTCCTGTTGCTCCAAAATGCCATTTGGGCACCTGTGGCACTGCCAGAACTGATGGTGGCCTGAGGAAGCTTGCCAAGAGGCTTGTTGGCCAATTTCGGTTACCCATGATGGGATCAGTTGCCTGGCTTGAATAACCCATTTTGGCTACAACTAGCCAAGCCGCCATATGGGAAACTGTCTGGGTTCAGATACAATCACCCAGCATGGCTTGGCACCCATAAGTTCACCTGTAAGTGCATCCAATGAGTGTTAAATCCAATATGCATTGCCCTTCAACTGCTTCTCATACATCAGCCCCCTAGCTGGTCAACAGGCTTGGCAGAAAAAAATTGATTATTTCCATCTGGTATGGAAAAATAATGGACATCGTTGCCAGTTTAACCTTGCACATCCAAGATGCCACCGCTGCAAAGGCTGTATTGTGACTTCCAGATGTCTGGGCTTCAGTGATGGCAGTAAAGTACCAGGAAAGGAAAGGCGAACAGGAGTCATGCACTCTGTTTGGATGACGGGTCTTCCTTCCACTCCCAGGCTGGGGTTTAGCTGGTCTCATGACACAGGACACATTGCAATGGTCTACCCAGGACACAGATCAATCAGGTGATTCCTGTCCAGAAACTCTGTATGAGTGCAGAGGATCTTCATCCACACCTGGAGTCTGCTCTTGTGATTTCACTGCCCCCGTGCCCACTGTGGGGTGGGCAATGTATTAACTCATTGTGATTTCCAGAATGCTTTCTTGAAGCATGTTTCACTTTGTTTGCCTTCCCAAATGTGAGCATTTTTGTGTTTTTTCTTTTCCTAATTAGGAAGAATGCCATTTGAAAAAATAAGCTTTTCCCCAACCAAAAATACCTTTTTCTTTCTATAGTCTAACACATATGAACTTTGTGGGGATTTGCACAAATACACATGTTCGAAAGTGCACATTTGTTCAAGTGTACAGATTACAATAGTCTAATAATATTGCATGGGAGGTGATGTTGCAAAGGTATGCAACCATCATGTTGAATATTGGGACCAGATATACATACTGCCTCTAAATTCACAGTCCTCTTAAAGATACCAAATATGACTGGACAGGGTTCTGTTGTTGTTCAGTTCATAAAAAGAATAACTGTGTTAATGTTAACTGCTTCTACTGATTAATATCAACATGGGAATTTTCTCACTTTGAAAAATGTGGAGGTGGTATAATTGATTATATAGCCATTTCTTAACCAGCATGTAAGTAAGTAATTCATTTTGAAGTTGAATCTGGCATGGAAAACTATCATTTATTTCTTACTGTTGCACTGGAATGTTCAGTACACAGTAACTTTATTTAGAATCTCAGTTGTATCTTAACAAATATTTAGGTGTGACTGCTCATAAGAAAATTAAAATTTCAGCTATAGTTGATTTATTCTTGACTTATCTTTTGGATACTGAAGATTTTATCACTGTCGAGAATACTATTTTTCAGCTACTAAGGTAATACATTTGTTTCAAATTTTGACTAATAAATTACAAGCTTCTCATAATAGGAATACTTGCCTTTTCTGTTGCACAGTAACAGGTTTATTAAATGCACCTGTGTACTTTACTGGTCCAGGTGAATGAATGCAATTTCTGTATTTTTTGTTTTACTTCAGCACCAATTCAGTATTAGATATTTCAGAAAATTTACTTGAATGGTTTCCAACTACAGAATGATTATAAGAATCTTCTTCTCAACAAAAGAGTAACATAGAAACATAGAAACAGAGCGAGTCAGAAGGGGTCTTCTGGGCCATCTAGTCTGACCTCCGGCACCAGCCGGCTTTGCTCACATAGAAAGAGCACCAGGTTTTGATCTTTTATTCTTACACCAGAACTTTTAATATCTAACATCAACTGGTGGGATTCTTTGTTGGAAGTCTTACTTTCATGTATTACAGGTCTGCTACCTGAAATGTCGTTATTCCCCATGTTTTCAAAATTCTAATCCATCAAATTATTACAGGGTGGTTTGCTTATAATTAGGAAACTTTATGAAAAGCATGCGTACTGCACTGGATGCATGGCACACCACTTTGAAGATCACACGCACTACGAGTGAGGCAGGGCAGGTGGAAAGCCGAACGGCAACATTTGCTGCAGCAAGAGACGAGTGAGGTGGCCACCTGCTCACCCTAAGTCTCGCTCTGAGACACACAGGCTGGCAGCAGTGCAGGGCCCTCCCGGCAGTGGGGCATGCAGGGTCCTGTGCCCATCCTGGCCTACCAGCAGAGGCAGGGGAGTCATCCCATGTTTTGTTGGGTGAGCACCTTGCATTTCCTGGCCAGGAGCTATGTGGAGAATCTAACAATTGTGAGGTAGAGGTGTTTCAGAGGCATGAGTAAGTATGCTTTGTCATGAAGCATTGTTACAATTACAATTGTAATTACAATAAATCACCTGTTATCTGGGACAGGTAAATAGGTTATTTCCTAGTGAGGCGACTTGCTTTGTGACAGAGGCTTCCTGCTGGCAGTATGCCAACTTTTAGTAACACTGTTAGTGGTGTTGCAAAAAAAAAAAAAAAGCTTTTATGATCTCTGTGGCTAACAATTAGCTCTTTCAGTTTATCAGATGGGAGAGCATTCTACTGACTCTCCTCTACACTTATGGGTGCCATTCACTGCTCACATCTTCGAATAGTTCATTAAGAAAAAACATGTTACTTACCATTTTCTTCTTTAATACAGGATCATCTTTAACCGCACTAGAACCTTTCTCTTCAGTCTTTGTTTCATTTTTCTCCATTTTGTTATCTGTAAATAATGCAGGGAAGTATTTGAAATTAAGTTTTGTAAAATGAACTAGCAGGACGAAGCTTCATACCAATATAGGCTCAATCTTATTCAGTAAAAATTCCTACGTGTCAACACCACTGTGATCAGTAAACATCTTACAAAAACATGTGGGACTCAGTTACTAATTTAGAAGGGAAGTTTGGGGAAGTGGGGAAGGGGAAGGGGAAGGGGAAGATAAAGGCACGAAATATTTGAATATGCCTGATCTTAGAATGTCCACACTTATGTAATCTGCTTGAACAACTGGAATAGAGGAGCTCCAGCTGTTTGCTGTCTGACAAATGTATGTATGTAAGTGGACTGGCATTAAGCTGGCACCTTGGTTCAGGACCAGTATGCTCTGGGAGGCATAGCCCAGGAGTTTCTAGGTATGCCATTAAGAGACACAGAGCTACAGCAGCCTTCCCCGACCTTGTGGCTTCTAGACACATTTGGACTGCAACACCCAGAATTTCAGTTAGTGGCCCTGCTGGATAGGAATTCTGGGAGTTGCAGTTCAAATGCCTCTGAAGACCACCAGGTTGAGGAAGGCTGAGCTACAGAATCTGCTTGCTTCCCCCTTGATTAATTTTTTTAAAGGCTGTTCGCCACGTCAGGGGAGGACATGCAAATGTCTGTTTGACCACCATGGCAAGAAAAATGTCTAGTCCTGAGACATCCTGCATCCCAGCCAGTGTCCCTAAAATAGAGGCCATGTGATGCAATGGACAGAATGTTTGACTGGGGCTCTGGGAGTTCCCGGGTTTAGTCTTCCCTCAGCCATGGAACTCATTGGGTGACTTTGGGCCAGTCACAAACTCTCAGCTGAACCTACCTCACAGGTTGGTTCTTGCAAGGATTAAATTGAGAGCGGCAGGAGGGTCAGACCCAGAGTGCCACTCTCTCTGAAATTAAGCTGTTAGAACTGATATACTGACCAATGTGCTAGGGGCTGGTATATGAACCATGCCATTTTTCACTTCGGTAATAAATGTGCATCCATATGGTTTTGAGAAAAGGGAAAGTTCATGTGTGTGGACCTCAAATAAGAATGAATAATAGTATTAAACATAGTACTTTATGCATATATTACTTTGGATTGAAAGCTCCCTCTTTTGCTCATTATGTTATGCATTACCCATGGAAGCGACACATTCAGGTAAAGGATTGTTTTTACAGAGGACCTCAGCTTCATCATCTTTTTAAAGGACACCCTAGTTCAGGGTTCAGAAACACAGCACTCACAGGCACGGTGGCACCCACACAATCCCAAGTGCATCCATCAGGTCCTGCCACAGCTGCTGGCAATTTTCCCCCACTAGAACCACCACTATTGAAATCATGAATTCTGCTTTCCTCATGCCACCTTTCTGCTCAAGTCAGCAGCTTTGGCAAGGAAGGAGGGAGCCGAAGGAGGTAAGAGTGGCAGTGGCAGAAAGGAGGGGAAATTGCAGGTGGGTGAAGGAGAGGCAGCAGAGGTGACCACAGTGGTGTCTTGTGTGCTTGTCCAGGCAAAATGAAGGTAAGAAAGTGTTCACTGGATCAGAGGCCACACCTGGGGATGGTTAAAATATGGAACAATAGTTTGGTTCTGCTGAATGAATGACAAGCTCAGGGAGCTTCCATGCTTCATGATTCATTTTTATCAAGTTAGCTATACGGAGTCCCTAGTACAATATCTAAAACAGAAGAGGTCACCAAGGGACACTTACAAGCCAGGAAAGTAAGTGAGGAAGCAAGTATCATTATATGCTCTAATGCTTTAGGGGTGGTTCAGAGTATCAATGACATTCCTAGCAGCTTTTCAGGCTGTGTCTTCTGGAACCAAAATGGATCCTTGTGCCAAGATGTAGAGTAATAATGCCAATTAAATATATGGTGCACAGCGTCTCAGAGAGCCAGTATGTCAGAAGTTCCTCTGTAACAAGGTAAGTACGTGCTTGGTGAAATAGGTCGATACGGCTTTTTGGCTTACATTTTGGGAAAGCTTTATCAATGTAGCTTAGAACATAAGTGTAAGCATATTCTTTAATAATCCACTAAACTAACTTCAGTGAAGATTTCTACTTTCTGTGGCAGACGTGCTTGCCTTTGAGACATTTTTCTCCATTTGCTGAGGCACTGTGATGTCATGGAAGTCTAATTACTAAAGGTAAACATGTAAGCAGCTACAGTCTTGCCAAACAGGGCAGCTTCTGTGAAAGAACTGAAGGTCATTTTGGCTAAGAAATTTTACATGTATCTGTAATAATAATAAAGCAACAGCAACTATATAATCAAGGATGAATGTGAATACCAAAGCAAAACTAATGCAAATGAAAAAAATATGAAAGAAAACAAATCCTAATGAATACAGCATTAAAAGAACTAGTCTTTCAGTAACAAATGCAAATAAAATCCCCAAGCAAAAACAATTTCTGTAGCACACTCCTATTAAAAAGTCATGAGGCCGAGGATGGGTTTGGACAACATACTAAGGCCCTTAGGAATGGAAACCATGTGCTATGGCTAAAAGTTCCCTGTGCCTAACTGACAATCAGGGCCAGGGGGTGAGGGGGGCACAGGTATCATGCCTCCCCCTTCGCCTTCTCTTCCCATGGTCCTGTCACCAGAATGCCATGTGACAATGTAGGAGCACTGAGGGGAGTAGGGAAGACAGCTGCCCAGAGTGCTAACTGCGTTTAATAAGCCACTGCCCAAGAGTGACAGCTTATAAATCACCCTCAGGAAGCTGGAGGAGTCAGATGCCATGCTAAACCACTGCCAGCATGGCTTGGCCTGCCAGGCTAATCCAGTCCGTGTGTTCCTTTCAGAAAAGTGATGCAGAAGGAACAGAGGGCTTGTCAGGAAGAGGTGGTGGAGACAGAAGGCTGAAGACAGGAACAGGGGAGGAAAATACGTGACATGTTCTAAGGGCAGCACTTTGCATGGGGCTGAGCAGTGTCAGGAATAATGTGGATGCTGCTACATGGAGAAAGTGGATTATGAGATATATTTTTCTATCTTTCATAATACTAGAACCCAGCGAAGTCATCCCATGAGCCTGGATGTTGAAAGATTCAACAAAGATAACATGAGGGACTTGTTTAATCATTAGATTTATATCCCACCCCCTTTTGTGTTAAGGAACTCAAAACAGTTCACATCATTCTCCTCTTTCTCATCTCAGAAAGCCTGCTTGAGATCTCAGCAGATTGCTTGAGCCCCAGATCTGCACTCTTAACCATACAGCGCATAATCACACTATGGAATGTTCTGCAGAAGTTGCAGTGATGGCTTTTAAAGAACATGCTGGGTTAGATATATGTATGGAGGGGGAGGCCATAAATGGCCTCCAGTCCTGATGACTACATGCTACCTACAATATCAGAGGAGGGGCTTCTCATGGGCAGCTGGTCAGCCACTCGGTGATCCTTATTCTGATCCAGCATTGCTCGCATATCCTTAGGAGGCTAGTGGGTGTGGATAATAAATCTCAAAGGAATGTTTAGGAGGAAGCTGAACTTCACCTACTGATTGGAATTACTTAAATACTCAATCAGGGTCTCTAAGGGTGCTCTGGGTTTCTCAGGCTGCCGTCCCATGTGACTGCCTGTAACCTTCTGAACCTGGAAGGTTACAAGCACCCAGCTGAGAGCAGGAGGTTCACCAAGGTCTCAGCCCCTCATCCTCCAAAACATTGAGATTTAATTTAAACATTTAAGTACTGTGTTGCCCTGCCCACAGGAAGGAGGGGCTGAGGCACCACTGGGATTCTTCACAGAATGGCAGTGCCTGGCTCCTTCCCTCCCCCCCCCCCCAAATGTCCCCTCCAGCACCTGATGTGCAGGTCGCAGCAGCTCCCCTGACTTCTCCCATGGCCAGCCAACCTGTGTTTATTGATCATAGGATTGCACCCTAATTTATATGCCATGTATTTAGCCTTGGAAGCACAGTGTGTGTGTGTTTGCGTTTGTCTATATATAGCAGTAGTAATTATCAGTGAGTGATTATGCAAATAGAGCACAAAGTTCATGCAGTTCATGTCCTTAATTAACCTCTGTTTCTTCACATACAGTACAAGAAGAATGCTTTATATAGTTGAAGCCCCATGAAGGAGTTAGGTTGGTGATTCTAATTACAGTGCTTCAGCTTGGGCAGTAGCAACTTCGCCACAGAGAGGGAATTGGCCCTATTCAATCAGTGCTGCCAGGGCACCATCATACTGGATAGCGAGTCCTTGAAGATGATGTTTAGGAGTCACAACAGGCAGGAGTGCCGTCTGCACAGCGCTTGACATAACTGAGTCTATTCTTGACTGATCTTTTAAGGGTGAGAAGACAGGCAGTTCAGTTTAGTTGCATACCAATAATCAGCATTTTAAAGTAATTGCCCACACATAATAAATGATGCTTTTGTATATTGTATGTTGCCATCTTCACAAATAAGATGGTCCAGATTACTATTACCAATCACTAGAAACTATTCATAAATTGGCCTATAAAATCTACCTCAATTAATATTAGATATTGCTGATATGATTTGAAGGCCCTGTTGGGATTTCCTGGTCTTGTATCTCTTGCATTATACACTGAGTTGTGTAAATGGCATGGCTGAGAAGCCTTCAGCAGCACAATGAGTTCAGCATTTTACATTGCAGTTCATTCTCATGAGGTAGACTAAGACAAATAATCCATATGAAAAAAATCAAAAGGACAGTGGACTGGCTGCTGTCCCTTTCTTATCCCCTACAGATATTTCTTGGCTTGGTTTGCACTGGTGCCAATCCATTTTAGCTTTGGATTTGGTCCTGCCACTTTCTTGGCTGCTGCAGGCACGTTTGCTCTTGTCTTACCTGCCTCAGTGGAACCGGGACCCTTTCGGTTGCTCTGCTTGCCCCATCAACATGCCTTGCCTCGCCTCGCCTTGCCGCAGCACTGCCTGCTGCTTGTTCCTGTTTTGGGTTGTGGCCTGCTGACCACCCATGATCAGTTTTGGTG